TTCCAAACAGATATTTGGTTGGGGACAGCAAAAGAATTTTGTATCAACCATACGAAGTGATAGGAAGGGATAGGAAAAGCAAAATGACAATGCATGAGAGACCAAGATGTGAATGCAATGACCAAGACTGGACATTTTTAAAAAACAGATGTTTAGCTGGATAGATATGATAGACACTACCAATGGCATAGTTTGAAAAGATAGTTAAGTAAATCAATGGCAGATAAATCCAATAATTTGTGGATGCTTCTAAGAACCAGTTGGACAGGATAAAAGTAGCAGGTGAAAATTGGATATTTAGCTGGCCACCGAGTAAATAAGTTAATGAGCTTTGTAGGTCTTTGGTTTGATAGTATTAAGATTTGGAATTTGTAGGATTAAGAAATTAGTGGCTGTTCAGATTTTGATGAAAATTAAGCTTCTGATAGTATCATCTTTTTCTTGCTAAGATTCTAGTGACAGAAGGCTAATTCTGGATCTTAACTTGGAGTAAAAATTTGTGCTGATTTTATTTTTTGTAGGCTATAGCATTTCTTTGGAATTACTTCTACACAAAGTGATTTGCATTGTCATCAGTCACAGTACAGTCATTTTGATGTCATAATAACCTTTTATGTTAAGTTTATCTGGGCTCCTGGTGGCTACCTGGACAAATCCCTAATGTTTTCTTAGCAATTTAGAAGTGATTTGCCATTGCCTTCTTTGGCTGAGAATGACTGGTCAAAGATCACACAGCTGGTTCCATGCTTAAAGTGGGTTTCCAAATTTCCTTTAGCTTTTAGATACTAAATTAGGAGAGAGGGTCATCAAGCAATCCTGATTTTTGAAAACTGAAGGTAGCAAGGTAAGATTTCTAAGAACCTTTTCACCAGGACATTAATCTGGCCTAGCCTGTTTGATACCAGCATAATTGTCATTATTATAATAGGTGATAAATATAGAACTGCAGAAAATCACAAAATAGAAAGACCTGTAAATAGAAGTGGAACAACTGTGGCAAAAGACAGCAAAGATAGTACAAATATGCCTTGGGTACAACCCCAAAATATCTGGAGCACCACTTGAACATCATTAAAATCACTATTGGTTGATTGCTTTAGACACCTTTACTTGAAAGAGCTCACAACCTATAATAATATATCCTTTAATACCATCAAACAACATCTGCCTATTTCAGATCCTTGGAAAGGGCTCAACAGATTAACAAAAATGCCAAACAGTCTAAACATCTGGCTGACTTTGTGACCAACCATAATAATATCCTTTTTTGAAGCACAGCTGTAGCATGTAACAAGAGAGTGTAAATGAACATGTTCTTCAATTAAACTGAGCATTTCAAATCCATGTTACTTTTCAAAGGCTCTTGCTTTAATGATGGGAAATTGTCATTGTACCACAAGTTATATTTTGGAAATTATAATATAATTTTTATATTTCTTCATGAATTACCTTCAACTAATAAAATATGACTGTTACATAACAATTTGATCATCAAGTGCATAAAGTAACTTTTCTATTTTATACCTTATTATTTTTAATAATCAAAATCAGGGTAAAAAGAAACTCCAAGATTGTTGAACATCACATAAATTTTCCTCAAAAAGGAAATACAAGATCTTTTTGCTTAGTTAGCAATCTTCTAGGTATCCCCATTTTTGCCATAAAGTTTTATTTTTAAAATATGTGGAAAAGATCCAATTGTACTCAGCAGGAAACATGGAACAGATAATCTGATGATTAAACATTATTATAGATCTTATCCTATCTTCATATTAGTTTGCACCTGTATGATCTCTGCAAACATTTATTCTGACTCCTAGGTGACTTGAAAATAATGTTTTTTAATTAAAGAAGGAAGCCAACAGTGAAGGAAAATATAACATTTTACCTGTTAGTGTATGGCATTTGTTTCTAAAATAATGATACTGCTGTAAATGAACACAACATACTTTTCCACAAATCATGGTTTAAAAATCAACAGTATCTTAATTTGTAAACACATTAAACTGATATTAATCCAACATGTGTAACATGAATGTGGCCAGAAAGAGGCATTGGGTAATCTGTTTCAACCAGTCGGCTGAGCATGTGCCTTTATGTTGAGTGACCTTATGACCTTTATGTTGAGTCATTTCTTCTATTAAATTAATAATTGTTATGTCGGAGTGAATTTTCAAAAATAGATTTTATAGCTGGAGAGAAGGTTCTACATCACTTGAAGAAGTGGGAATCTTTCTTACCCCATAAACACTTTTTTTGCGGAAATGCTAGCCTAACGACCTCTTTATCTAGCAAAGAGCCCAAATTGAATTGAACCAGTGCAAAAAGACTACCCACTATAAACACAAAAACCTGTTTAAACATTACAGTTACTTTTCACTTCTTTGCTGGGCCCCTGCTTGATAAAGCAGGAAAAACAATACAGGAACACTAAAAGAATGCTTTATGTTCATATGCATCTGTCATTAACCTGTATGGCTTATGTGTGATACAGCCTTCAAGATGATAACCCTGAATTTAACATGCCTCCTTCAAGGGAAAGTTTGACAGCTGAAAAAAATTACTGTATTCTTATCAAATGTCAGACAACATTCCTAAATTATTTGAGGGGAAAAAATTCAGGGTACACAAGTGAGGTTTAAAATTCCTAGTCCTAAAATTCAGTGGGGAAGAGGATACACATCTGGGAACAGATTCCATGCAGAAAGGTCCCCTTCAACTAAGGGAAGCTATGTGCCTGTCATGAGAACTGCCCTCTCCTGCAATCTATCAATTAGCAACTGGGAAAGAAGAACACCCAGATTCAGCCATGAGTTTTGTTCCATATAACATCAATCTTCTGAACTATCAAGCTTCCTCTTTCCGGTATGTATTCAATTTTGTGTGTGTGTGTGTCTGTAGCTTGTCTATGTTTCTTATGTATCGTGTATTTGTTTGTTATGTATATGTGTACACTTTGAGAGCAGGCAACATAATTTCATTTTTAATGTGTGCCAGTGTGCCCACAGTAAGAAAATGACAACAAAGGTTATCTGTCTGTCTTGTCTGTCTGTCTGCCTATCCGTCTATCTGTCTGTCTATCTGCCTGTCTGTCTGTCTGTCTATCTATCTATCTATCTATCTATCTATCTATCTATCTATCTATCT